ATTACAAATTTACAACCATAACTAGCACTTTTATTCGGAACTTAAAAGTCCACAATATGCTAATTATATCATGTGATTTAAAACTTTTAAAACTTGGCAATTTGGTCCAACGGTTTTATATAGATTAATAATCATTGACTTTTATCCATCTTTTAATTAATACCAAAATTAAATTAAGCGTCGTTCCAAAAAGATCAAACGTGTTCGATACTAATATGAGGATTTTAAATAAAATTAATAATGGCAGTTGGAACTTAGGCCTTTTTTTAATTCATATTAGAGACGGCTGTCTTCATTAGTTAAGCACAAGCTATGTGATAAGCCAAATTCTTTGTTGCATAGAAAGAAAGATCAAGCCCCGTGTTAAATATTTTAAGGAAAAAAAAATGATTGCGATATTTGACTTATATTGAAATGATTTCTTTTTTTTTTTTTTTTTTTTTTTTTGAGAAATGTGGAATCGAGCCATACCCCATTAGGCTACATCAATAATCTTTTTAATTACAAAAACTAATTTCAAGGGAAATATATATGTTTTTGAGTATTTAAATTTTAATTTAACCCATAAAAATGTAAAAGAGTGATGACAATATTCTTATTTTTTAAAAAAACTTTTTTATCATATTTATTTTTAATTACATATATTATGTGACGAACAACATTTATCAATTTTTACTATACATTTCATTAAATTTTTTACTAAAAATTCAATTTTAATTCAAACCATGCAAGGGCTAATAATTATATAGGAAGACTTGCATTAAATAGATGCATTAATATCTACACCGAAAATCTACTGATCCAATGGTCAACAATATCTGTATAGACCAATTCTACCTTCGCAATTACTACATAACTGACCTTTCTGAAATCCTAAGGGACAACAAGAAAACATCATTGGCCCTGCCAGCGGCACCGCTGGAGATGGTGTCGCCGCCGGTTGCAAGAAATCAAAGAAAAGCTTAGACTCTGCAGATGAGTTGAAAGAAGCTGTCTTTTTGTACTTTGATTGAGAAGGAAGTCCTATGGAAAGTTCAAGGTCAATTGCATTCGCATGTATAATGTTTTTCTCCGGCGGTGGCGGAGCCTCCGAGGTGGTGCCGCTGCTGCATTTGGTGTCGTTAGAAGAGTCTGTTGGAGGCATGCACTTGTTATCGGACTCATTGATCAACAAAGTGGACTTTTCTGATAATTGTGCTGGGTTGCTGAAGTCCAAAGATATATTCGCCGTGGTTTTCAGGGTCGAAGTGGCCGAATCCTTGGTGGTATCAGTGGTGGCGCCGCCGTGGAGTGGACAGTGAGTTTGAGGGTCAATGCCACGGCTAATAAGCTTGCGTTTAATGTGGGTATTCCAATAATTCTTGATCTCATTATCAGTCCTCCCTGGCAGTCTTCCTGCTATCAAAGACCATCTGCAGGAAACTGAATTAGAATTTTTTTGACTGCAGTAAAAATAATTAAATGTTCTTCTCTCTAAAATACTGACAAGAATGTTGCTAAAATATTCTCGTTTCAATTTACCCTTTTTTACTCACTTTATCAGATTTCTGAGAAAAGGAAAAAACAGAATTCACATCCTATTTAAAAATGAAAACTTCCCATCAATGGAGATAAATATTCATACTATTTTTATGGTCCTAATTATTCAATTTTCTCAAACAAATTAAAAAATTCTGAAAAATTAAGAAAAAGGGCTTACTTGTTTCCAAGCAGACTATGAAGTTTGATTATGATATCATCTTCTTCTTCAGTAAAATTCCCTCTCTTGAGATCAGGCCTTAGGTAATTTATCCACCTCAATCTGCAACTTTTCCCACACCTCAGCAGCCCTAAAACAAGGGGAAAAAAAGAATATAAATGAATCCGGCGAAAAAGCATCATTTTGGGCAGATAGACACTGTCACGAGCGAGTACCTGCGGCTTTGGGGAGGGAACGCCAGCAGCCTTCACCATGTAAACGGATGTAATTGATGAGTCTTTGGTCTTCTTCTTTAGTCCAAGCGCCTTTGTTTGTATGAGCTTTTTCACAGCAAGGCGAGCGACCCATGATTCAAGACTTTCTTGAAAACTGTGCAGTAATTCAAGAAACAGAGATTTTTTCTGGTACACTTTTTCTGGTTTTCTAATGATGTTTGATTGATTGAGAGAGAAAAGTTTGATATCAAGAAAATAGAAGAAGATGGTATAATATATGAATGAAGAAGTTGGGGGTGGGGTGGACTAGAAGTAGGGTAGGCAGAGTGGGGTGGCGTGGGAGTGGAGGTTGGGCAGGTTGGCAATGGTTGATGAGAGAGAGAGAGGAATATGATATGCAATAAAGAAAGTGGGTGAGTAGGCAGAAATTTGGATGGTTTGTAACAATTGGAGAGAGGGATTTGACCAAGTTGGTGAAAAAGACGAGTAGTTAATAGATGGGGTTGGATTTCGTAGGGAGGTGCACTTTAACAGATGAGTTGGCCTTCTGCAATGGTCACTTCCTCTCTCTCTCACTTTCACATTCTCTCTCCAGGGTCTAGAGTTAGGAAAAATTGTATGATTAGTGCCTAACATATTGTCACGTAGCAAGTCATTAAGGAGACCAAATCTCAAGAAATACTCCAACGGGGTCATATATGCCAATGTGAGAAAAATTCACTCAAATCATGACATTTGAGATATGAAATTGATCTCTTTATGGACATCAGTGTAGAGACAATCTCTTGTTCTCTGACTTGTTGAGACACATACTGCGATTTACCTCCCTCACGATACTTTAGGGACGGAGCAGTGGGGCCCTCAATGTTGAGGGTTCAACTTTTTTCAAACTCAAATTACTAAAAATGGCTAAGAAAATGAAATATGATTGGTGAGCAGATCCATTCAACATTCGAGGCATCATAATTTGTGCGATTCGAGAATTAATATGTCGATATTTGAGTGAACAATCTTATCATGTCAAAATATAAGATTGACACAACGTTTATCTACATATTTTATCCATGTCTCATTTTCTCGTTGGCCATCTCTCATTCAAATTTACCACATCACTACAATTTTCAATTTTTAAAATTTGATTAAGTGATATCAATGAGACATCAAAATTGGATAATAGATTTCACTTATTAACAAGGACTTCATGAAAACAAAAAAATATCTCATTTTAAATTTTTGAGCGTTAATCTCAGTCAAGCAAAAATCTAGTTAAAAGAAGTTGGATGTAAGAGCGGCACGTAAAAAATTAATAAATGATCGTTATTAAGGACTAATTATACAACTATAGTAAAATATTGGGGACTGATGTGTTTCTTTTTCAAAGCTGGGGACAATTTACCACTAAAACAATAGATTCAGGATTAGTAAAGCAATTTGATCTTAGATTTATATATTATAATAAAGACAGCCTAATAAAGTGATTATGAAGTTAATTAGAGATTAAGATTATTGTCTCTGCCAAGTGGGTTCATTCCTTCTTCTTAGATATCAATTGATGAAAGTTTTACAGTAGTATATGACCTTTGACCTTGTTTCGAATATTTTTTATTTCCTTAATAAAAAAGTTAGCCCCCGTTTATTTTTCATTATTTGCCCATTAAAATGAAAAATATGACTGTTATTTATCACATCAAATCACCATATTTGACTTTCTATCTCTTATGTAAGATCCGTAATGAATATATTTTTCATTTTCATTTTTACATTAATGTGTACCAAACGGGACCTTAATGTAACCTTTGTGTGTGGCAATTACTGGTATCTAATGACCTCTTAATAGTAAAAAAACTCATTCAATATTATGTTGAGATGTGACCTAAACAAATTTTCCTTTTATTTCATTTGAGGAGTCCAATTAGCTAATTATATTACTCAATTATACTCTAATTTCATCTATTCTTTGCTCGTTAAGTCAAATCATATATTATCTTCGATCCGCTAATGTAACAACAAAAAATTTAAGCCTTTTGAAGTGAAAACATAAAATTACGATCCACCTTTACAATCGAACCATATTAAATTGATCGAGTGGAGGATACCTTATAAATGCAGTCGATATTTATAAAAGAAAAGAAAATTAATACAAATTGTAGAGCAACCCACAACACGTGTTCAGAAAGTCGGGTCAGGCCACCTCAAAACTGGACGCCAGCCCCTGGCGCCGAAAACTAAAGCCCACAGCAATGAAGAGGCTTATAAAGAAAAAGAGGGTCTCAAAAGTCAAACTAAATCCAAGCTCCATATTTTCGTGGTAAGTTTGGCATTTTCAATCTTTTTAATTAATTTCAAATTGGGAAAAATTCATAACTAAGAAGTTAACTATCACCTATTTCAAAACTAAGAATAAAAGTTTTAAATTTTAAAAATTAGATATTTATTAAAATTTATTTATTACTTATATATATATATATATATATATA